CATATTTCCGAATGTTCCGTGGAGCGAACGCAATCGGAACAAATGTGATTCAATCAATAACTACACCGAAAGAATCAAAAGAGTTATTTTTGTTTATGGCGTGCCCGAGCTACCGGCATGTGGCGACGAAGAAGCCCATGCTCATGACCCAGAAGAATGGCGGCACATCCGCGGAGCTTTCTGTACTGGTGACGTTATACTTCATTCGATTACACGGTTACCAGAGTTACCACACTACAAAGGCGGTGGCCTGAGGACACTGAAACTAACGGTGCAGTCACGAGATGGCGGCGAACTTCACCCGCAGCTTTCACACACTACGCAGCAGACTTCCTTCGAAACTACGACTAAAGACATCAGTTAGAGAACCGCAGCCACTCGCTATCCTCACGGAAACGACACCATCCACGACACAGAATTACAACAGCGGTTCAGAAACTGCACACCGACCAGTAGCTATCCATAAAGCTACCGGTGGACCACGTCTAGCAGATGCAAGTGCGGCAAAAAATCAGATTGCGTTCATATCGAGATTTGACAATTCTCCCACAAAGCGATTAGGCGCCGGCCTCCCATCGGTCGACACAAATACACATCTCATATGCTTCCAGTAAACGGTTTCTGACATCCGAGAAGCTTTCCTGTATGTACACCAGCGTACAAGGCTAACTGAGTACACTTTCTGAAATGCGGCTGCGTTAAGGATCAGAATTATGCGACCACATCGCTATAACTTAGACATTGTTACGCCGCGACATAAGTGACATCGAGATCGCACTGCTAGGCATGTCTATTTTTCGGCACGACCGATTCAGCAAAGATGGAGGGGTAGCTCTGTACTTCCGCCGGGAGCTCCAAGGTTAACACGGTACATGGTTTCATTTGGTGCCGTCTACGTTTACAAGACGACGAAGCCTGCTGGGTGGCAGTCGTTTATCGCCATCTCTTCTCCACGTCCGATATGGACTTCTATCTGGCATCTCCACGGATGCCGATGATAAGCTATAACGAAGGTCACCTTCTTATTACTGGCGACTTCAACATCCGCACCCTGGAATCCTAAGCCTTTCCTGAAGGACAGACCAAGACGGATCTACAAGGGATTGTCTCCAGTTTTCTGCTGTATGACTACATCAACACTCAAATCCGATTCCATGAAACAGATAAGCCGTCTATCCTGGACCAGATATTCCCCAACGAAGAACAACTGATGCTCGATTGGGTGATTTTCGACATCCACTTGCGTCGCAGTGATCATGTAGTCCTACTCTTCTAATATATCTGTTATGCAGAATATTCCCCGTGGAAATTACCGACGTAACGAGAACGATTATACCTATGCCATATTCGCACGACTAGGCGAGACAATCAGTTGGACCATACTGACAGAGGATGAATCGGTTAGTGCATGGCTACAGTTCGTCAGCCAGGTTAACACGCGGGTTGCCGAAGCATTAGTGACTAAGACTGTTCACCCGAGAATGGTGATCTGGTTTCTGCGAAGCAGGACAGGCCAATGTATAGCGGCACGAAACTCTGCTTGGCATTTCTACCACTACTCTCTAAGCACCGAGAACTGGATGGCCTATGCATACCCAACGTAATCACTGTGCTCAGCTTGTTCGCGAGGATAGCATGACGTACAAGCTGAAGTTGGCCACGCATATGGCCTCAAACCACATGCTTCTGTAGCAACACGTTAAAAGTCTACTCAAGAAAAAACGCGGAATTCCTCCTTTTCAAGCAGCGCACGGACTGACAATAATACAGGGGGATGAGGCGAATACTCTGCGCCTGGAATATGCTGCAACCTTTCCGTGCAATCACTAGTCACATCACCCTATGACAGGCGTGGTCTCATTCCCAAAACTCAAGCACATTTGCTTCATGGCATTGATATTAAAAACCCGCTAAGTTTGCGCAAGCACAGCTCTCCTGGTGTTGAAAATATGCACCAGGATTCTCTAGTGGCCGTAAAAGTGAGCCTAGCTGAGCCTTTGTCTCGATTCTGCCAAACAGTTTTGACTAAATGTGCTTTCTTGACATGTGGAAACACGGGATGATTACTCCCATTCACAATGGTAGTCGTTCCGATCCAGCAAACTACAGGTTGTTTCAAAGGTCATGGAGGCTATTATTTCTGATGCGGTAACGGTCTAGTTGGAAGAATTTAGCAGCCTTGCATCGGAACAGCATGGCTTCCGACAAACACGATCGTGTAATACAAATCTACTGCTAGCACGATTCAGCTGGACCGAGACAGTATACTCTGGCACAGACGTTGCTGTACTTTTTCTTGTGTTCTCAAGGACGTTAGACCGGTTAGACCATGACATCCTACTCTACGAACACTAGACCGTTGGTATTGGTGATCCCCTCCTAGGGCGGATCAGAAGCTTTATCCGACACCGGCGCTTGGAGGCACGAGTGAAAGAATCCCTGTCAGTTTCCATGCAATTTAGAGAGAAATTTCATTCCACTTTTTTAATTTGTTCTGCCTACCTGAATAATCTTCTATTAAGTGGCCACATTGCTTATGCTAACTGTGGTTATCGACGTTGACTTTATTATGTTTGTAGCATTTTTGGGTAACTTGTGGACATTTTGTACTTATCGCGGATTCTTGGATAACTACCTTAATTCATATGTTAATTTATCGAAATGTCGGCATAGCTGTATTCTTTAACAGATATATTTCATTTCTTAATGTAATTTCAAGTGATTGGCTGTTGTTTGATATCCTCGGTGTGGCTGCGCTTGATGTGCATGTTGACAAGGTGCCTACCTGTCTATTACCTACTACATCGTTCATACTGGCTCTAGGAGACAGTTGGTCGTTGCTGGAGAGGACGGGGTGCACGGTCGTTGTGGCCGTGTTAGGATCAAAGAATGGTTCCATGCACTCAGGGTGGAACGGACTACGGTCCAGCCACAGCCTTGTGTGCGCTTGATTTCCCAAATACAGCGTGCTTGTGTTTGCCTGTGAAGGAGTGTGGGCCGGCTCCGTTGATGAAACGTGGCTCCCATCCACATGCATCCCGGTCTTATTCCTTCGGGTTTACACTGGATATGGGGTGTGTGGATGGAGCTGTGGGTGGTGCAGCGCAAACCATCCATGGTCCTTCTGTAGGCGCCGGCATCCTGTGGCTGTCCACAGTGACAGACGAATCCGAAACCGGATGCCGCCAACCATGGTGCGAAGTACCTCAATGGTCGGTACTTGGACCGCCGTTATTTTTGACGTATATCAGCATCATCACACGCCTCATAAACTCAAACTGCCTGCTTTATGATGATGATATCAAGGTGTAGAGGGAGAACAAAACAACAGTTGATTTCCCAGTACTATAAGCCGAACTGGATAAGGTATACGGCTGGTCAATCTGGAATCGACTTCCATTTTATGTGGAAAAATGTAGAGTGCTGCACAAACGGAACCTGGTGGTGTGGTACAAATTTAGCAACCAAGAGCTTTAAACGTCTTCTGGAGAGTAGGATATGAGCGTTTTGGTCCAAGCGGACCTTGGGTGTTCGATTAAGTCTGAAATGGCGTCAAAGAGGGACATCCAACACGTGGGTTTCCTAAAGCTTGCATTTAGACGATTCAACCGCCTGTTTTTCTACAGATCCTCTGCTCATACATACCTGCACATATGGAATACGCAATCCAGTTCTGGTAGCGATAACTGAAGAAATATCTCAGTACCTTAGAGATACCCCAACGCCTGGCAACCAAAAATGTCAAATGTTTGTATAACTTGCCGTATGAGCAAACGCTTCGAGTACTCGAGATCTTCAGTGAACAACATTAGAGGTTGCGCAGGGACCTAATTTTAACCTACCAGATTTTCTGAAATCCCAACCACACGTGCCGCCAACTGCTAGAGCTCAGCCACAACAATAAATTGAAAGGTCACCATCTCCAGCTTCCAGTGCAGTACAGTCGTTTGGAGTGCTGTCGGAATTTCTGTTCCCTACGTGTTTGCGGAAGGTGGAATATCCTATTGGAATCTATCATCTATGCTCGACGCTAGCACAGTAAAAAGCCCGAGTTGAACGTGCACTCATTTCGCTGCACCAGGTTACACTACTCCCTGCGCATTTCTAAGCACTTCGTTGCCTAAAATGTGCTGCTTTGGAACATATTAATTATCCCTCCAAAGCGGATTAGCATGTTATATAAATCTGAGGAGGCGGTACAGAATTAAATATTCTGGTTTTTACTTTCTCACGGAGTGGAACACCTATAACTGTCCCCATGTTGCCTCGTCGTTCTCATTCAATTCCCACTTACACTACTATTATTCAGCCGCGGAGCTTCTAAATAAACGCTCAAACAGATAACTCACCTATCTTTTGATATTGGTAGTTTTAGCCCCACCATCCTGCGGGACTTGTCAAGCAACTGATTTTTTACGCGACATAAACCACTGTTCATTGTTCATTAAATGTTTGCTTGAGATTCCATTGGTGCTCAACTCCCAGTCTACATCCTACCTTTGTAACCTCAGGCATGGGTGCAACAGGAGGCGACAAAATGTTCACTGACGTCCCATTTGTCACCATTACTTATGGACTTACAGTTTATTTACATTTTGTACTATGTATACCGCAGTGAGTCCACTGGTGTGAACCCAATTTTGCTGACAATTCTTCCACATTTTGAACTTCCACCGTTACCATCCTACTGGAAATGCTAGGCTTTAGCTGCTTTTATCCGTATAAACTCAGTTTTATATTGTTCCAACAGTGAATGTAGCTCATTTGTCCTCCATTCGGTGCTGGCTTGCACAGAGAGACAACGGTTCACTTCACCCTGGCCCTGACCGGTTACCCACATGAACAAAACCCCTCAGACAGACAGTCCGATTTGATTGGTTCAAACGATTCAATTCAAGTAGAAGTACCAACATTATCATATGAACCAATCCGCTCCGATTTCATTTAGTTATTAGCTTTGAATATAAGGGAGTAGCCGGCCATAGCCGAAAACGTGGTGGTTTTGACACGATGAATAAACTACTAAAGCAAACGAAACTCACAGAAAGTGGGCCAGAACTTTTTGACTTGTCATCTGAAATAAAAATCTGGGCATATGACACATTCGTACTAACTGCAACAAGAGAACAGAAAAAGATAGACTTGAGTGATCTGGATCTACGCATCATTTGGGAAGATGTAACTGTGAACCACGAAGCTCCGGAGTATTTCGACAACAGTGTTTGCCGTTTGCCAAAGGCTCATTCTCTGTTCTCAACGACTTTTCGGAATAACACTGACACCGAGCAGGAATACAGTTTTCGTACTGAACGGTGCACTCGATCAGTGGCTGAAATTGAAATACAGCGAGGTGTTAATATCTCAAAGGAAATAGCAATCAAGTTGGCAGTACGTTATTTTCATCATGAAGCATTTCCGTATTTCTCCACGCCTGCATTGTCGGTTGAAAGCACGTTATTAACTAAATGTACTTAGATTTAGAAGATTTGCTCGTATCTTTTACGAAAACCTTAGGCACTTTGTGATGACTGTTCGTTTTGACCCACGTTATCTAGGTTAAAGCACATAAGCCAGGTTTGAGACAATTAAGCAGTGTTTCCACCATTATGAATAGTCGTGAATCAAACCTCACTTCGTCAAGTTTTTGCCCAACTGTGACACTGCCACCGTCGATTCCACAGTAATCACCGAAGAACTGTTATGTCCCGACTGCTCTACGATAACCTTGGTACTCGGGCACTCAAGTCTCAGTTTCCTGACTAGCCTCAAAATACAGATGGTGAACCGGTCTTTTTCTCCTCGCCTTTGATCACCCCGTGCCCTAATATGGGTCTAAGTATCATGGACGGTGAAACGACCCTGATTTAGCTCGAAATAAGGGCCCGAGTCCAACAACCGAGTTTGCTTCATCTTCCGACTGGCGTGCATTTATGACCCAGACAGCTCCTAACACAACAGTAAGGTTACAATCATACTCTGTTTCAGCGCTATCCGACGCTCTTCTTTGTAATGAGCATAATAAACTTATGGCCGCATCCATCGTCATCTTTGCGTCTATTGCTAATAAGTTAATGAGCAGCTGTGTGGCCGCCAATGCCGCGGCCATGCGCATCCTCATCAAGGAGTGAGGTGGACAGGATTGAACTATGACTTGATGGAGTAGGTGAGCAACATAGGTTGCAGGGCTTTAGTTAACATCTGAACTAATAAAAATTCAATACCTCGTGGCCATTCGTTTTCCCGTGGTCATCTAGGACTGTCTCGAGTTTATATTCTTATGTTCACTAAAGATTGTCATTTGCCTCATGCGCAACGGCCACAGCGATAGACGCGTCGTGTATTATTCCAGTGGAGAAGAAAGTGAGTAGGTTACACTTTAGTGTCGAGCGATTCATCGCGTCCGTATTCCATAATATTATGCGGTCTTGATCGGCACCAGCTGTGTTCTGTGAGAAATTCACTTGACCGTCTTGATTCGGTCTTCCTCTTTTTGCTTACCAAACTCTATGCTGCCAAGCCTGGTTTGCTCTGTGCGACAGCGACCTTTGCGTTATCCGAAACTACCGTTTTCAACACTTATGGACCATTTTTTTCCCTCAGTAGTCTAGCACTAGAAGCTGGCCTGGCGTTACCGTGGTGGATAACCTACAACTTTTAAGCATTTAAAATGTGTCCACTGGTAGCACCAATGAGTACCGTGATTATACCTGTTGCAATAATGGACCTCACGCGGACCTTGTTCACTTGTTAGTAGTATGCGAAGACATACATATTTAGTGGGGCTATAACTGCGTTCACAGTGGGCTCATTTATTGAACGCTTGCATTCGGCCATTTGCTTTCCCATTAATTTACACTTTGCATTCGACTTCAGCTTGTGAACCGTGATTCGCCGTAACCTGCTGTAGTGTAGACTGCACTAGTACATGAATATTCTTCCAAGGGTCAGCGAGCTTTGCTTTCGAGCACAGGCTCAGAGCTGTGAAGAAACGAAGCACTTTGGTTCAAGCTACGGTCCTGAATCTTCTGTATCGCGGATGAATTTCATCCTGGTGGTAACGATTGTGTAGGAGACACTGGCTGCGCAGTACCATTTTTGTTTATAATCTTCAACAGAAGTACGGAAGCTACCTTTCTTCATGTTACCTAAGTCTCAGCTAGAACACCATACTGAGACCACGGTAAGTGCAACAACTTTTATAAGGAAATCAAATTTTTTTGAGCCTGTAAGCCATCATTTTTGGTTCAGCAATGTAGTACCAAGTGCTAGTGGAACCCATGAGTATCGACAAAATAAGTTCACTGCGATGAATCTTCACAAAAATCCAACAACCTCCACCCTACTACTCTCTATTACTTTTACACTGTAGACTGTGAATAGTCCAAGATGCCGGTAGTGTTTGGTTTCCCAGTGCAGATTCACTGAGTAGCGAGCTTCTACATTAAGGGCGTGAAAGTCAAGTGAAGAGTGGATTTTAGTGTACCCAGAACGCGTCCCATTCCTCTTAATATATGATAAAGAGAGGAATTCCGAACCCAAACTCCAAGATTCCCACACGTGTGAAAACCACTGCGATCACTGTGCCACAACTTGGTTACGAATGAAACGATCGAACGGATTCAGATAAAAGTAACGTGGTACAGCAGACAGGTAGACGACGGATCAAAGGATTTTGCTAGCTGATTATAATAACTCGGGATATGCACTGTTGAATAATTCTATCAGTCGATTTTAAGCATCGGACCCATCCGGCTACCGCCTAGCTGATGGGATGAATAATAACACACTTTTTTTCAAACAATTACTGGTGATTTGTAAGAGAGCATTACTTGAACGGGACAGGAAAACTTTTAACGATAGTTTCACTTTCACGGGGCTGCAAAAGTAACTCGTCTCTTTGAGTAGACTTGGCCGACAAGCGTTTTAGCTGATGTTTTCTTTCCGATGTCTTCTGTTTTGGAGGATACCAGCACCATCAGTGCAATTTCTGAGATTACTCATAACTTGCCTGTCGAGTGCTAATTTGGTTTTGAGACATCGGTTTGTTTTACTGTTTCTACTTTCAGTAATTGAAATGATGTGGTTCGTGGCCAGGTATGTGCACAGTAAAAAGAAATATGCTGTGCATCTGTCCCCTAGTTTGATGGGTAACAAACTTGTTTCTCTACAGCCGTGTCCACTGCCCTTGAAAGCGACATTCATGGCTTATGCTCCAGAAGTTAACCACAGGTGTGATTTTGAATGCACTATTTTAGGTGCTTATAAATGAAACAAGGGGTCTGTACCTGCACTAGAGTGGGTAAACCATGATGGTGCTGCTATCCAAGATAGATGGAGAAGGCAATTGCGATTATCACCTCTGAAGCTTCAAAGTGCTGTGTGACCGGCTTACATTATCCATTCGTACACAGACAATCACTTTGCTCCAAAAAATCTAGTGTTGGTAGTAATGTACGAAAATATTTACTGATACTGATACTGTATTTAAGAGCAAGTAAAAAGGTTTCTGTACAACTCTATTGAATTACGAAAAATCAAACACATTTAGTTTGAATCCTCAGCGGTTGTGTCTGGTCAGTTAATCGTTTATCCTTGTTCGGTAAGGAATTTGTACCAGCGTCATTATTTCCGGGCATACAATGTCTTCTTTTGGCATTATATGTGCATCGTTTCACAAAAGCACAGGTTTCCGCAATAATCGTCAATACGGGTTTTAAAACTCTTTATACAATCAGCTTCTATTAATCCTTCTGGTAGTGAATTCCATAAGTTTACGATTCTTTTTTTGAAACAAAGCTGATGTGATACTTTGTTCATGCTGGGGACCCTGAGTTTTGTACCAGTGTCCTCGGGTGTTACAGGGTTCCCGCAGGTGAAATATTGGCCGCAGTATGGGGAGGTGATTTAAGTGTAGTAATCGATGGGTTATAATAAGGTCAATTCTTACTCGACGCCTTCCAAAACGTTTTTCATACGGAAGCTTTTGTAGACTCGGTATCATTCTAGTTGCGGTATGCTGTATTTTCTCCAGCTTCTCAGTTTCCCATTGCGTTATCGGTTGGTCAGCTGGGGCACCTTATTGAAGGATTGGTCTAATGAGCGAGGCGAATAGAAGAGGGACGGTTTCTTCGGACCATGTGGAGAAAGTGCGTATTAATGCCCAGAGCATACGAAGTCCCGCACGGTACAATTTCCCTGTATTTTCTAGTGATCTCATAGCATGTTGTGAGAGAACTTCTAAGACTCTGCCAGATGTGTTAGGGTGGAGCAACTGGCCGTCCAAGGTGTATGATCGAGTGGTTGGACGTCTGGTGATACTGATTAACTCCGACTTGCTTGCGTTAAGAGGGAGTTGCATTTCAGTGGACCACGTTGACAGTCGCTCTAAGTCACGCTGGAGGCGAGCGCAGTCGTCCTGATTCACAATGATCCTTCAGATTTGCAAATCAACTGCAAACAGGGCACATGTGACTGGAGTTGCTGCGGAAGATCGTTGGTATGAACAAGAAATAATACCGGCCCAAGTACAGTTCCTTGAGGCACGCCACTGATCGATGGGAACCAGTCTGTCAGGTAGTCATTGACCTGTAGTCTACAATTTCGTTCCACAATAAACTCGTGTAACCACTGAAGTAGCGTGCCACCGATTCCGTATGTCCTCAGTTTACGAAGGAGTACCTCGTGGTTCACAATGTCAAACGTCTTACTAAAGTCGATGTACAACACTTCAACATCCTTCCATTTATTGAGACCTCGTACCCACTGGTGGTTTGCGTACATCAAGTTGGTGATGCAGGATCGTGTTACTAGATCGAAAAGATTACACAGATAAACTAACAGCAATACTGAGCGATGAGACAAAGTTTGCGTGTATTGAAGGAGAAAAGGACCGAACTGAACAAGTTGAAACACAGATAACTAAGAGCTTGCAAGAACTCCGGACCAAGGGGTACATTTCGGATGCTCTGTATGACAGCCTTAAACCGAGTGGCACAAGCGTCCCAAGACTTTACGGGTTACCAAAAATCCACAAACCTAACATCCCACTTCGTCCTATTTTATCAATGGTTGACTCGCCGTACCATGCCGTTGCTCAGTGGCTTGTAGAACTTCTTGAACCTGTACGACAACAGCTCGCTATCTACAGTCTTCGTGACAGCTTCCATTTCGTCGAAAGCATCAAAGCTGATAATATCAATGAGAAATTAATGTTATCTTTCGATGTCGTCTCACTTTTTACAAACGTCCCATTGCTTGAGACGATCGATTACATTTGCGACTATATAGCCGAGTCAGGAATAAAAATGTGTATGCCTACGCGTGAGCTTAAGAGCCTACTGTTACGCTGCACCTGGAATGTTCAGTTTCTATTTAACGGGAAATACTAC